TGCACCACCAGGCCTTGCTCAAAGAGTTTTTAAAATGATCCCCAAAGGAAGTTTAAGACTGAAGGTTTTACTATCCCTCTTACATTCATAGGGGTTCTCTAAAGTTTAAATTCTTTCACATTCTTGGATTGAACTGGAATAGCAGAAAGGGTTCTTTACACCATTAACATTTCTCCATGGTTCTCCCAGCAGTACCTCACAAGTGAGTATTCATGAGGCTGTGGAGAGGCGCTGGGGCACCTCAGTGGTACAGCGTTTGCCTGGCATGCATGAGGGCCTGGGATTAATCCCCAGGATGCCTCCCACATACGTGGGCTGTGGAGTATGTCAAAGCTACTCCCCATCCGTCACAGGTGCGTGGTTTTCCTTAATATGTGAATATTAAGGGGGAAAGGAGCATGCACAAGTTCACTGCGATCTGAGGAACCAGTGAAGGCCTTTCAGCCTTCCCTATGTCCACAGGGCTTTGTCCAGCGTGAGTCCATGCAGTGGAAAGTTCACACAGTGCAGCGAGAGCTGAGTGCTGATGAAGCCTTTTTTTTTTTGGTTCAGGGATTCAACGGGGACCTTGTGCTTGAGAGGCAGGCAGTGGCACTGCTGAGCTAAATCCCCGGTTGAAGAAGCCTTTTTAACAAAATGTATTTACTTGCAGTTGAGATCTATAACGCTTGGATGCTATCAGCTGGCTCTAGGAAGGTGAACAGCTGAATGATCTGAAAAATCCCACAACTGCTCTGAGATACGGAAGACAAGCGAAGTCCCAGGGAAAACTGCCGGCTCCGAACCTGGAGACACGCTGGGGGACAGAGTCACCCCGTCCTAGGGCAGAACCACTTCCAGAAACAGGGCCGCTGGGGGAAAACCTGCAGCCCAAGAGGTGCTGCAGCCTGAAAGTTGAAAGAGGTACTGCGTCATGGAGAGATCCCCATACTTTTGTGAGTTTTACCACTGGACACCCAATTACAGTAAAACGTCAGAGGGAAATCTTAGGCTTTTGGCAGGGGATGCAGAAGAGGAGCCATTTAAAACGTAACACGGAACCCAGGGGCTCACGCGAGCTAGGCAAGCGCCCTGACACTGAGCCGCACCACCAGGCCCCAGGGAGCTGTGCTTTATCCTGCAGGAGAAACTAGTTAACCAGCAGGATAGGCCTTTTTCCTCTCTCGGCAGTTCAGGGAATTGAACCTAGGGTCTTATGCATGTTAGCGAGGTGCTGTACAAGAGCTACACCACCAGCCCCTCTGCTGGGGTTTTATTAAAACCTCAAAGACCTAGAAGGGAGATATTCAAAGCCAGCCGCCTGTAGGCATTCTGACCCAAGTAAGTGAGGAGAGGAGAAAAAACCCAGAGACACAGATTCACTACAAGACTGAAATCCAAAGCCTGGAAACACACTTCCTCTTTTCCGACCGTATTCTATCACATTACTTAAGGACTATAGCTGTTCATTTTACCCAGTAGGTCACGTGCAGCTCTGGAGGAAAAATTGCAAGGCATACGAAAAGGCAAAAATCAGCTTGAAGGGAGAGAGCAATCACCAGAATCCAATACGGCAGAAATGTTAAAATGATCAGATCGGAAATTCAGATTAACAGGCAGCATCTAGGAACAGACAAGAAGTGTAAGAAGAGATGGAAATTCTAAGAATGAAAAGAATTGCTAGAGATGGAAAACAGTTTCACAGAAATCAAAACGAGACAGCTGAGTAAAGCATCTCCAAGATTAAGGATGTATCAACAGAAACTCCCAGAACTGAACAGAAAACTAAGAATGAAAACCAATAGAACAGAGGGTAAATATCCTTTACCTGAAATGCTTGGGATCAGAAGTGTTGCAGGTTTGGGAGTTTTTCAAAGATTTTGGTATAAGCCCCTAAACTTTATTGGCTAAGCATCTTGAATACAAAAATCCAAATTGCTCTTGAAGTCAGAACTTTTTAGTGTCAATACAACACTAGTGTATTAGGAAATATTCAACGTGTATACATAAGAACTGTGGACAACTACGGAAGTCGTAACATATGCACAATGGGAATTCAAGAAGGAAACAAGGAATAAATACTTGAATTAATGTCCGAGAATTTCTCAAAATTAATGTCAGACATCAAAACGCGGATATAAAAGGTTGTGAGAACACTAAACAGGACAAATAGAAAATAAACACAAAAGACCACACATAGGGATGCCACTTTAAAAATACATAGCATCAGGGCTGGGCTGGGGATTTAACTCAGTGATTCCACCGCCTGCCTCACAAGCACAAGGACCCGAGTTCGATCCCCGGTACCAAAATAAATAAGTAATGAAAACACACAGTACCAGCAATGTAGAAGGGATCCTTTTTCCCTGAAGCCTTGCTAGCATTTGTTATTACCTAATTTTTGACGGTGGCCATTTTTTCTCGGGTAAGATGGACTCTCACTGTTGTTTTAATTTGCAGTGTTGAGCATTTCTTCATGTACTTATTGGCCATTTGTATTTCTCCTGTGAAGTGTGTATTTCTTTTGTGGGGGTCTGATTTTAAACATTCTTTCCATAGTCTAAATACCAGTCCTCTGAGCAAGAGTTGGCAAACTATTTTCCCATTCTGGAGGCTTTTTTACTTTATTGGTTGTTTCTTTAGCTGTGCAGCATTTGATCCAGCTATGCCCCTTCGAGGTACCTTCGCAAAAGAGTTAAAGACATCATAGTACAGGGATCCGTGCACACCCAGGTTTATAGCAGCACAATTCCTAACAGCTAAATCTTAGAAGTGGCCTAGTAAGTCCACCAGCGGATGAGTGGATTTAAAAAGTGGACTTTACACACCATAAAGAACTACTCTGTCGCAAAGACACACTGGAGTCATCTGTAGGAAAATGGATGCACCTTGAGAACATAAAGTTAAGCGAAATGAATGAGACGCACAAGTGTAAATATCACATGGTTTCTCAATTTATAAAGAGCAAGTTAAAAAATAAGGGAAAATAGAGAGATCGATCTTTCTCAAATGGGGATGGGCTCAAGAGATGGAAGAAGGGAGAAAAAGGGGCGGGAAAGGGGATGAAAAAGGAATTAAGAGGGTCCGTGAACCAACACGTGTTATGCACACGTGCCGACTCTACACAAGGAACGCCAAGATCAGGTACTACAAAACACCAAAGATAACCCAAAAATCATGGAGATAATCCAAAACCCAGAGGGGAAAAATGCATTCAAGGTTCTGGGGGCGTAACTCAGTGTCCATGCGTCCTTAGTACACACAGGGCTGTGGGCTGCACCCCCAGCACCGACTAAGAAAGCTACGGGGGCTACGGGTATAGTAGAGGTAGACTGATTGCCCAGCACATGCGAAGTCCTGGGGTCCATCCCTGGCACTGAAACACCGGAGGAATGTATATACTTACATATAATTCTTAGCCTAACAACGTCCTCAAAATACGACATATTCCACAGACTATCTGTGAGATTGCAGCAGAAGGGGTACAAGCCTGAGGCCAGCCTGGGCAATTTAGCCACTCAGGGAGATTGGTCTTAAATTTTTTTAAAAAGAGCTGGGGATGTAGCTTGATGCAAAGGCCCTGGGGTCAATCCCCAGCATCAAAAAAAAAAAATTATTTGCCTGATTGTATTTGTGTGCACAACTATATATGTGAAATGAATATACTGATAAAGAAATAGGAGGAACTTGGAAACAGCCCATTTGCCCATTGGTTGGAGACTGGATAAAGAAGATGTGGTTTTTCTATAAAATGGAATACTACTCAGCCATAAAGAATGAGAAATTAGATTCATTCATGGGAAAATGGATACATATTGAGGATATACTCCTAAGTGAGATAAATAAGTCACACATGTGTAAATACTGAATAGTTTCTCTGGTATGAAAAACTATAATAGTACATAAGATTCTAATGATATAACTGACAATGTGAAATAGGAAGAAAAGGGCTAAAGGTGTAGGGAATGTGGGAAGGGTAGGGGAAAGGTAATAAGGGAAAAAAAATATGAGAAAATGAAAAAGTGGAAATGAAGTGTTTGTAAAGGGCGAGGGGAGGAGGGGGTGAAGGGAGGCCAGGGACAAGGGGAAAAAATGAGAACTAAGACCTGTCACGTAAAGGTACAAGATCCCAGTGATGAATGTAACTGTACTGTATACCTGAAAGGTACCAATAAACTCAATGAGGAAAAAAAAAGAAATATGAGAAAATATTTGGAATTACACACTAAAACTTTGTGGAATAGCATAATTTTATGAATGTGAAATCTCACGTGAATATTGTAGCATGTTGACTTATTTGAAGAACAAACCACATTGCATAGTTTCCCAGGGCCTCTGTGATTTTAGACATTCAATTTTTTTGTATGAGGTCCAGGGATTTAGCTCAGAGACACCTCGCCTGCCTGGCAAGTGCAAGGTCCTAAGTTTGATTCCTGGTACCAAAACTCAAATATTTTTGTGTGTGGAACTAATGCAAGTTTCCCTACAAGCACTGCTAAAAGGCTTCTCACCAGTCTGACTTCTTATATACTCTATTTCTTCCATAACCCTAATGAGGCTTCAGAACTCCTAAGCTCCCACAGAGTGTGTAAGGTCATATTCCTTACTTTCACAGTAAAAGAAAATTTCTCACTTTCCTTATTTGTCTATTTAGTTTTCTCAGGGTCTTCACACCGAGCTACGTCCCCAGCTTTTTTTTTGAGACAGGGTCTTGCTGTATCACCAAGTTGACCAGGCTGGTCTCGAACTCTCCTCCTGCCTTCAGTCTCCTCGGGTGCTGGGTTTACCATGCTCCTCTTAATTTTCACGTGATCTATCACCAGTTGGCCTGGATGGAAATATTAAGATTCAGGGTCGGGGATGTAACTCAGTGGCACTGTGCCTGCCCCATAAGTGCAAGGTCCTGAGTTCAATCCTCGGTACCCTCCCCAATTAAGATTCAATGAACAACAATAACAACAAAAACAAAACAAAGACTCAATGAACACTGAAAAGATTTTTTTTTTTTACATTTCTAAAATTCAAAGACTTTTTCTCTTGTGTGATTTCTTCCCTATTTAGAAAGACATGAAAACCCACACTTTCTCACACTCATATGACATCTCTCCAGTGTGGCTTTGCATGGGATTATTTTTTTCTGCAATGGTATCTCACAGTGTCGCCGAGGCTGGACTCAAATGCTAGATCCCCCTTTTTCAGTCTGGAGTAGCTGGGTACCCACCACCACACCAGGCATTGCATATGAATATTAAGACTTTTGAGCAATCTAAAGGTCTTCTCACATTCCTTACTATAGTCGTTTGCTATAGCTGATAATAAAATACCAGAACAGGTGGCTTAAACAACAAAATTTATTTCCTCATAATTCTGGGAGCTGGGAGTCAAAGATCAATTTGTTTGCTCAGTTGGATTGTTTCCTCTGGAGGCTTTAGGGGGTGGTGGTGTCAGGAACTGAACCCAGGGCCTCTGCATTGCGCTGTATCTTCCTTTTTTTTTTTTCTTTTGAGACAAGGTCTCACTAAGTTGCTAAATTGCCCCAGTTAGGCTCAAACTTGCAATCCTCTTGCCTCAAATTCTCAGAGTACTGGAATCATCATCACGCATCACCCTGTCCAGCTTGCAGGCCTTCCTAGTGGCCCCTCCTTCCCTATTTGTAGATGGGCCACCTTCTCAAGACTTCCACGGTCTCCTGCGTTACCCTGCATTAGGGTCACTGCCAGCTCATTTTACTTTTGGTGGGGAGGATGTGGCCTTGCTGTATTGTCCATACTAGCTTTGTCCTCATGATTCTCCTGTGTCAATCTTCTCAGTAGCTGGAACCATAGGTACACATCACCGGGCCTGGCTGCCGAGCGTGTTTTTTGATAGAGCTTCTATTCGGAGTGCGTCCCTTCGATTCTTCAGTGTGAAGTGAGGTGAGGGCTTTCTCACACTCCTTACCATGTATGAGGTTTCTGGCTAATGGGTCCTTTCATGTCTTCGAAGCCAGCGAGGATGACTTAGGCCTCCCCACACTGCTGACACTTACAGGGATTCTCTTCAATGTGAGTTCTTTCATGAATTCTAAAGGAACCGGAACATATGAAAGCCTTCCCACACTCCTTACATTCAAAAGGCTTCTCTCCAGTGTGAGTCCTTCCACGTATATGAAATGAACTCGAATGACCAAAGGCTTTCTCACCCTGTTTACACTCATAGGGTTTTTCTCCAGCGTGGATTCGCCTGTGCATTTTAAGGTGTGTAGAAGAGCTAAAAGCCTTCCCACATTCCCTACGTGTGTAGGACTTTTGGGCACTGTGAGTTCGCGTGTGATTATTAAGACATGAGAGATACCCAAACACTTTCCCCCATACCTTACATTCAACACTTTCCCCCATACCTTACATTCACAGGCCTTCTTGTCAGTGTGAGCTCTTAAACGTCCACTAAGTTTTGAAGAAATAGCGCAGGCTTTCCCACACTTGACACGCACAAACGGCTTCTCTCCGGCGTGAATCCTTACATGTTGAATAAGACGTGAGGGCGTAAGGAAAGCTTTCCCACACTCCTTACCTTCATAGGGTTTCTCTCCAATGTGAGTTCGCCTGGGAATATTTAGACATGCAGGATACCTATAGCCTTTCCCACATTCCTTACATTTGTAAGGTTTTCTTGCATGGAGCGTTTCTACAAGCACAGCAAGGCTTGCAGAGTTCATGAAACCCCCATATTCCTTCCATTCATAGTTTATCTCCACTGTGAATGTCCCAGTGTGCTTGAAGGTGATTAACAAAGGATTCCCCACAGTCGCTGCATTCAGAGGATTTCTCTTGTGCGCTAGTTTTCTGGTGAACATTAGTAGGTGACATACAGAAGATTTCTCCACTCCGATTAAATGCACAAAGTTTCTCTCCAGTAGAGGCTTCCTGCTGAGCGGTAAGGAAATCTTTTCCATGCTGCTCACAACCACAAGCGCTCCCTGTACCTTGAGTTTTCGTGTGGGTCCTAAGGCACGTGTGTTCACCGAAGAATTCTTCATATTGTTTCCAGGCGTAGAGTTCTCCTCCATTGTGGGTTCCTGTCTGCTGGTAAGAGGGATGAGTGCTAAAGGATTTTCTGAAGCAAATCATTTGATGTTGATGATTTCCACTGTCATATATGCATACAGTTCCTGCTCTCCTGATGGATTTCACATGTATGATTGATCCCACACCCTAAAATGCTATGCCAACTATTCTAATCTTTAAAAAGATTTCTGCAGAGTTCCAAGAAAAAATTTTTTTTAAACTAGAAGTCTATTTGTACTGAGAATGTGTACTTCTGGGAACTCTGAAACGTGATGTTTCACCACAGGCCTGGGAACCCCCACATTTATTAGGTTCAGAAAATCTCTTCAGAGACAGTCCCGCTTGTATGTATCTGCCTCTCTCAAATATCTCTTATATTTGATGATACACTGTGACGTAATTCCTGATTTTTGTTGTGGGTGGAAAATAAGACAGCCCTCTTCTTATTCTTACCATTCGTATACCACTGGACATGTTACTCTTCAAAAATTCCTGCTGAAGTGCTGGGCATTTGGTTTTAAGTTGCATTTCCCATTCTGAAGCAAAAGAGAAAAACAAATGGAAAGGTGTAGAGAAAGAAATGAAAGACTGAAAGAATCAAAAAAGATAGGGTTAATTTGTTTTGCTGGAAAAAGCAGAAAAAAGAGTTGAGGTTTTGGACTATGTTGAAAAATTGACAAAGATAAGGCCATGTGGTAAAAATCTGAATAACAAAACCTGATTCTAGCTGGGCGTGGTGGCGCATGCCTGTCATCCCAGCACTCGGGAGGCTGAGGCAGGAGGATCGCTGTGAGTTCGAGACCAGCCTGGGCTACATAGTGAGTTCCAGGTCAGTGTCGACTACATATGAGGCCCTGTCTCAAAAAACCAACCAACCAAACAAACAAACAAACACAAAAAATTGATTTTAAGCCAAATTGATAATGAACAGAAAAAATACACCAGGGAAAGAAAACAGAAAATTTCTGGAAGAAAGGCACATATCAAAGCAATGAACCGAGCCAGGTATAATGGCACACTTTCTAATCCCAGCACTCTGGGAGTCTGAGGCAGGAGTACTGCTGTGAGTTCAAGGCCAACCTGCAGTGAGTGCAAGACCCTCCTGAACTACATTGCAAGACCATGTCTCAAAACAAAGAAGAACAGAAAAGTGATAAACTGAAATAAAAGTTTAAGTAAGGGTGTACTAGAAGTTAGATTTTCTAATTTCGGAGAAAAACAGACTCAGCCTTCTGACATAAAAGTACATCTTCTAAAGTTTCTTTGCTATAGTTGTAAACATACTAAAGGTCTCATTAACTAGTATTTTTTTCATGAATACTCACCTTGGAGAGCTCCCCTCTGACCTGTCCTTAACCCTCCTTGTTCCAACCAAGAGATTGATGATCTGACATCCTGTGTACAAAGAAAGGCAGATTGGTGAGAAAGCTTATGAAAGAGATAAGAAACCCAGAAATACAGCCTCTGCTGTGCCTCAAACATTTGGTTACCTCTGTCTCTTAAAACCCAAATTCAGTCTTATATGTATATTTACTAAGTACAAAGATTTTACTTTTATTTTTTGTTTTTGGGTTTTTTTGTTTGTTTGGTTGGTTGGTTTTTTTTTGTTTTTTGTTTTTTGGTACCGGGGATCGAGCTCGGGACCTTGCACTTGGAAGGCAGGTGGCAGAACCACTGAGCTAAATCTCCAGCCCGTAGACATTTCTATTTTGAGATAGGGTCTCACTAAATCACCCAGGCTGAGCTCAAATTTGCCATCCTTCTGCCTCACCCTCCACAGTAGCTGGCATTACAAGCCTATGTCCCCACTTGCATCCAGGTTTCTGATTCAGCAAATTAGAGGCGGGGAAGGAAAATGTAACCTTCTAACAGACTGATGGCGCTGTTATTGCCCGTGGACATTTTGAGAACCACTGAAGCAGATTAAAAATCTATTCAGGTCAGGGACTGTGTCTATTGTATCTTACTGTGTTTGGAATTAACATCGTCCATATCTCAACACAGCGGAATGACAGCAGCCCTACCTACTGCGGCCAGGTTCTGGTAGTTCTCCAGCATCACGTCACTGTACAGGTTTCTCTGAGTTGGGCCCAGGAAAGCCCGCTCCTCCTGGGTGAAGTCCCCGGCCACACCCTCAAAGCTCAACGACTCCTGCGTCATCATCACACACGGGCTGGTCTGAGCCAAGGAACCTGTCTCACCTTGTTCACAAGAGAATGAGGAAGGGACACGAACGTCTGCCCAGGTTCCGAGGTCTCCAGTAACCTACACCGGGGTTCAATGCTTCTAGGAAGTCCTCTGTCCAAACCCAGGGACTCTGAATCCCAAGTCACATGGCACTTCTTGAGTATGAATTTATCTCAGCACAAACGGACCAGAACATTTTGCCTTATTTCCTTTCACTGGAAGACACATGCTGCTTAGCACATAGCAGAGACTTGACTAATGCTAATGAATGAGTAAATCATGGGAAAACAGGACACTTTCATCTACGTTGTCATCTATCAGAGCAACCAGCCAACTAGGAAACATGCGGCCGGGACAGGAAGGCTCAAGACCAATTAGACATTTCTGAAACACCCGGACGATTTTCAAGTTCATGTCCCACATGACAAGCTCCATTCCCGGGAGAAAAGCAAATGGAAATTCAATCTTTGGGTGAGGCTCCATTTGCTTTAAAAAGCTCTGGAGACAAATATTTGTGCTCTTTCTTTGTTTGTGACGGAAATACATCTACTTGGCAGGATGGAATCATGTCATTTTAGACGAAGATATTTTCTTTTTACCTGATAACCTCTTGTCAGGCAGTCAGTCAGCTATCATCCTCTCTGTGGGTGCCTTTTCTTCCTGAAGGCCAACTGGTTCCTTAGAAAGAAGAGTTCATGGAAGAGAAAGAAGACACAAGAACTCAGAGTTGACCGCAGTTCCTACGTTCATGTATGCAGAAGTCATTTCGCCCCAGTAAAAAAGTCCCCTATAATCCAGCACATGGAACACACACACACACGTACACATACACCACTGACCACATCATGCTAGAGAAGTTCTGTCTCATCTAGAGGTGGAAAAATGGATGGCCCATCTGGATAAGTATTCGCAGTCCCACTTTACTGATAAAGAAACTTATGCCCTGAGAAACGTGGCTTATAACGATACAGCTCAGGAAAGGAAACTATGCAGCATGTCTTCCCAAGAAACGCAGAGCTGAAGACACACATGTAGCCTTCCTTGGCCTGCTGCGTTCCCTCCTAAATGAACCAGCAGTGTGACTATTCAGGCCATGACTATAGGACTCTCTAATATTGTTTAGGGGAAGCTGTGTACTGTGTGCTGTGACTATTACTCCTGATATGTCAGCTTCACTGGATTAACAAATGTCTAGCAGATTAGAAAGCATGTTTTGGGCTTTGTCTGGTAGGTCACGGAGGCGTGGCCTTGGGTACTCAGTAAAAGATCTCTCCAAAGAAAACTACAGTACTCTGAAAAACACTGAAGAGGACACCAGAAAATGGACAGATGTCTCCTGCTCCTGGTTAGGCAGAACAGAGACTGTCAAAATGGCCATACTCCCAAAACTGTTATAGAGTCAGTGCAGTCCCAATTAAAATACTAACAGCATACTTTATAGAGCTAGAGAAAATAATCTGAAAGTTCATATGGAGCCAGAAGAGATGCAGAATAGCAAAGGCAATTTTGGGCAGCAAGAGCAAAGCAGGATGCATAGCAATACCTGACTTCAAGCTATACTATAAAGCAACAGTGATAAAATGGCATGGTACTATAAGAAAAACACGTATCAGTAGAACAGAATTGAACAGAAACTTCTCCAGACCCATTCACCTATCTGAACTTTATTTAACAAAGGGGCCAAAAGCATATGTTGCAGGAAACAGCCTATTGAACTAGTGGATCTGGGGAATCTGTTTATCTGTTACAGAAGATTGAAACTGGACCCTCATCTCTCACCATATACTAAATTAAAATAAAAATGGATCAATGCCCTACATATTACAACAGAAACATTAAACCCACTGGAAAATAAAATAGGTAAAACACTTGAAGGCATGGGTATATAAAAGGATTTTCTAAACAGAACATCATTTGCACAAGAAATAACAGCAAGAATCAACAAATGGGATTTTATCAGACTAAAAAGCTTCTGTGCAGTAAAAGAATCAGTCAGTATGAAGAGACAACCTACAGAATGGAAAAAAATTTTGCCAGCTACTTCTCAGAGAGAGGACTAATATCTAGAATGTGCAAAGAACTAAAAAAATGAAAGCACCTTAAACTAAAGATGTGGTCAACAAATACAAATGGTCAATAAATATATTTAAAATGTTTAACATCTCTGGCTATTAGAGAAACGCAAATGAAAACAATGCTAAGTTTCCATCTTACTTCAGAAAGATTAGGAATCATTAAGAAAATCAAACACATGCTTGTGTGGCTGTGATGAGAAAGGAACCCTCCTTCATCACTGCTGGGAACTGTAAACTAGTAGAACCATTATGAAAATCAGTATGGAGATTTCTCGAAGAACTCAAATTAGAAATTCCATATACCCAGCAATCTTCCTGCTAGTTATCATCCTCAAAGAGCTGAAGTCCTCATGCTACAGCAAAACATGCATGTCAGTGTTTATATCAGCACAATTCATCATGGGTCTGTAACAGATGACTGGATAAAGTCAATGTGATATCTATATATAATAGAACACTATCCAGCTATAAAAAATATCAAATTCTACACATCTGTAGGAAAATGAAAGCACTTGGAAAATATTATGTTGAGTTGTTGAGTGAAATAAGCCAGATATACAAACTTAACACTTTTTTTTTTTTTTTTTTTTTTTGGTACCGGGGATCGAACTCAGGACCTTGTGATGGTGAGGCAGGTGGCGGCACCACTAAGCCAAATCCCCGGCCCTGTACAAACGTAAACATCCTATAGTGTCTCTCTCATTTGAGTGAGGCGAAGTACAAAAAAAGAGAATGATAAAATATAGATAGAGGAGACAAGGGGATAGATCTCTTGTAATAAGGAAGTGGACCCAGGGAACCAGGGCAAAGGTGAGCAGGATGGGAGGGGGAAATAAGTAGAATAAAGATACGTCTTGCTCAGGAACCTAATAATTTCAATCAATGTAAACATCACATGCCATAATATGAGCTAAGATTAATAACATCAAGAATGATAAATGGGACAGAGCAACTGGAGGAGAAAAGGAGCTGGAGCAAAGGGATTCATAAAACAAGCAAGCTGGGCCAGGGATTCAGCTCAGTGGTGCCGCCGCCTGCCTCGCAAGCACAAGGACCTGAGTTAGATCCCTGGTACAAAAAAAAAAACAGAAGAGAAACAAGCTGTATTACGTACATGGAGCCGCTCCCCAAGACAACTGTAAACTGCACAAACTGCAGACATGTATGAATAAAATCTTTTAAAGAGCATTAAAAAATTAAATTATTGAAAGAAAAAAAGACGGGACGTGTAGGGCAGCAGTAATCGGGAGGGGAAGATGGTTAAGGAGGCGACCAAGAACAAGAAGGGGCTGCCTAAGAGGAGTGCGGAGGACCTGCTGGAGGACTCCTCTGAAAGTGCCAAGGAGGCGGCAGACCCAAGAGGGAGGAGGAGGCGGCCGCAGAGATCACCAGAGCCTGTAGCCAGCAGTGTTTCAAGAGGAGCCCTGCTCTATGCCTGCTGCTGTCTGGGTGCTACTGGGGAAGCTGTCCATGGACTGCAAACTGGTACCTCTTCACTCACGACTGACTTTCCTCCTCCACTCGTTTCCCCCACGTTACGCCAGGCCCTGAAGACTGACCTGGCCTTTACCTCCAGGTCCCTACACCCCTATGAGATTAGTCAGGGCCATGTCCTCCACTCCCTGGGATGAGATGAGGCTGCTGTGTCCCATGCCACTTGTAGCTGTTTCCCAGTCAATTTCTTCTATTTAAGAAGTGGTAAAAACCAGGATTTAGGCCGGGCATGGTGGCGCATGCCTGTAATCCCGGCACTCGGGAGGCTGAGGCAGGAGGATCTCTGTGAGTTCGAGACCAGCCTGAGCTACGTAGTGAGTTCCAGGTCAGTCTCAACTACATAGTGAGACCCTGTCTCAAAAAACAAAAAAAACAAAACAAAACAAAAAACACACAGGACTTAAAGGCAGGTAAAGTTTTTGTTAAACCTAAGAATATATTTTAAGTAGTGTGGCACCTCGACAGAGTCTCGAATGCATACCCAAACAGTTCTGCCGCACCTCACCAAGATGAGCAGAAGGTCACTGTGAAATCTGACTGTACCCAATATCTGCCCATTTCATGGGTCTTTTCGGAAACCACCTACTCGTGGTATTTATCAGTTGTATCTTTCCACCCGTTTGCTTTCACTTTTATTTATTTCCTAATCAAACTATTTGCATGGGGTTTTGTTTTTGTTGTTGCTGTGAGTTCAGGGTCACCTTGAACTCACTATGTAGTCTATGCTGGCCCCAAATTTGTGGCAATCCTCCTCCCTCAGCCTCTTGAGGGCTGGGATTACAGGCGTGCCCATCACATCCGGTCCTTTTCATGTTTTGTTTTTTTAAATTTTAACCGCCTTTGAACTTAATAAAAATTAGTTACTCTTTGCTTAGAAATGACAATGCTTAATGAATCACACACAGGAGTCCAAATGGTGACCTACAGAATGGAATTCAAATTTTAAGTTCCACAGTTCAATATCCATCAACCAAATTCACCCAGAAGAACCCTATACAGACTTCATTCCATAAATTAGATTGAAATCCTGATGTCACACTGGGTAACAAAAACCACATCTATACCTCTGGTGTAGATCACATGAACTGGTAATTTCAACTAGGGGGAAGCCCAGAAATGTATTTTATTTGATGGCACTGCCATAAAATCTGACTTTATTTTCTAAAACTGAGATATAATGTACAATCAAATGTACACATCTTGAGCCAGGCGTAGGGGCGCACACCTGTAATCCCATCACTCGGGAGGCTGAGGCAGGAGGATCGCTGGGAGTTCGAGACCAACCTGGGCTACATAGTGAGTTCCAGGTCAAACTCAACTACACAGTGAGACCCTGTTTCAAAAAACCAAAAAAAAAAAAAAAAAAAAAAAAAGTACACATCTTAATGTACACTGGAGGAATTTTGACAATTGCACAAACTCCTACAATAATTTGCCTAAACAAGGTAAAGAACTTGTCTCTCCAAAAAAGGTCATTATCCCTTCCAGTCCACTCCCTGGTTGTCAGACTCAAACAAGCACTGTGTGATTCTTTCAACTATTCATAATTATATATGAATACTGGACAAATATTGTTCATGTTTCTCAAATGTACATTGTTTTTTTCTCTAAAGAAGCCACATGAGAAATATGATAGTGGGAGAAACATGCTAATACCACTGACTGGAACTGAGGTCTAGCAATTGTCTGAGAAGCACTCCTTTACAGTTTTGGTAAGAAAATTATTGGGTGGATACACGTTTTGAACTTTTCTTTTTGAGAAAATAAACCATTTATATTCATAAACTTGATATCTGACAACAAAGATCCTTCTGAAATTATACAATCAAGTATAACAAGATCAGAACAGTCTTCTTTTGTGCACCTACCCACCCAACACCCAGGTCTTGACTACACGATAGAGGCACCCACAGCACAGATGTGGATAATTAATGCTTCCGGTCTTTGTACTTGGACTGTGTTACAGGCTGTGTCTAGATATTTGTCCAAAGCCACATGTGGTCTTAGGTGGGGCTTTTCAGAGGTGGCTGGATCTAGGGTGTATGATGCTTGGATTAAGGGTGTGTGAGTACTAAACTAGTCCACTGACTGGTGTGGCATAGTTCTGGG